TTGCAATAAACTCCTATTGGGAGATTTGCAAGTAAAGGTGTGGGTGGAACCTATTATACCTACTTTTTTCGTTTTTTAATTAAGAACTTCAAGTGAGTTTTACCCTCTGGAATAAACCAGATACTGAAAAATCAAAATAGTTTTAAACATACTTGCATCAAGAAGAAAGATGTTCCATGGTGCGAGACTTCCAAAAAACAATAGGTCTAGGGAATCCAAGGTGAAGATATGCAACTGCATGAGTTATCTCCATTGCAATCTTTAACATGAGTTCAAAATAAAGGCCAAGATGGGGTTGAGAATGACTCAAAATACGATTAGCAAGTGTCGTACATCCAACGAAATCAAAAAACTAGAATGGGAAATTGAGTTTCTAAACAACATCCGATAACTCAGAAATTCATTATGCTTCATTTGTGCTGCAAAATACAATGTTATTGATGCCCTTTGGTTATTTCTTCCTCTTCTGGAAGAGAAATGGATTCAAACTTCATAACAAAAATCTGACGGTCTTGTAGAAAGCCATGTACAACCTATAGAAAATTTTATTTGTTATATATAATCTTTGATTGTCATATAATTGTTGCTTTCGAGCTCTTCTCGGAAAAACTATGAATAAGATTACATTTGCCATTAAAAGTGGCAATCAACTTGTTCAGTAACATTGCATCATTCTTCAAATTATTATCGTCCTTTCGGCGAGGGAAAACATGAATCATCTTACTTGATCTACAAAACAAACCCATGAAATGCGTTCATTTATTTAACCAATAATTTGGAACATCAATGTACAAGTTAGAAAAACATGAAAAAGGAAAAAAAAAAATTGACATGTATGTATATGAAGCTAACTATAATATAAGTTATACAAAGAATGCTCTATAATCTATATCTTTTATTCAGAAAAGAATGTTTTCGACTTAGATCATTGTCAACCTAAAGAAAATCAAGAGTTAAAAGTAGGTGAACCAGAGGGATTTAAGAAGGCCGTACCATATGGTGAGGATGGCCAATTCGACCGGTGCTAATAATCGAAATTGTGAAGAAAAGAGAAAGGCTGAGTTTGAGAGAGCCAAGGCAATTTTTCAGTTAAAGTAGAAATAAAAATCTGACGAAGCACAATTAATGAACTTTTATGTACACAACCAGGACTCTTATCCTTGAATGTCAGCTGGCCCTAAAGAAGACTTATATGCTCTTCACTGGAAAATCCCTTATCTTTGGTGGGAACGTGTGGCTTAAGAGCAGTGGCGGTTCCAATGAAGATGAGTGGAGACCACGGGGTCCCACTCAATTTTAAAAAATTAAGATTATATTCATTTAAATTTTGTTCTCATAAACCTTAGAATTTTTGGAACAAAACAGTCTCTACGGTAAGTTTGGATTTTGTTTTTGTGAAACCCCATTTTAATCCTAATATATATATACGTATTTTTTGTGATTTTTATTTTTATGCAAGTGGGATATATAATTAGCAGATTATAAAACTGATCCGGGACAACTCCGAGAATCCAAAGTGAAGAAGAAAGTACATTAGCTACATCCATTGCATCTTCAATCTGATGTTTCATCAGTAAAGGTCAAGAAGGGGTTGAGAGTTGCCCTGAATACACAATCAACAAGTGTCCCACGTCCTATAGAATCAAAAACTAGAATGGGTATTCAAGTTCTAAACGCATCCGATCAACTTCAGAAATTCTATGTTTCATTTGTGGAAATGAATACAATCGTATCGATGCCTTGTTGGTGTGTATTCTATGTTGATAGTATAATGGACTTCAAACTTCAAAATAGAAACAACGGTCTTGTAGAAAACCATTGTACAATTTTTATATTTTTTGATCTATAATTAGTCTTCGTCCATAATATTGTGTGGCTACCTTGAGCTCTTCTATGGAGAACTACGAATAAGATAAAATTTGCCATTACCATAGGCAATAACTCTTTAAGTAAGATTGCACCATTCTCCAAACTCTTTATCTCTTTCCGGGAAAATATGAACTCATCTAACTGATCCACACAAAAACCATATGAAAAAGATATTGAAATGAATGTTCTATATGTTTTATCTGAAAAGGAATATTTTTAACGAGATAATGTCAATGTGAAAAAAATAAGTGTTAAAAAAGGTGGAAACAGAGTTGCAATGAAAAGTAAATATACATGCATAATCAATTAACAAAATAAAACAAAGGGGTTACAAGGAAGATGTTGTAACTGTATGGATGGCCAATAGGTGTCATTTCAAGCTAATTGTTCAGAAAAAAGCAAAGCCTGAGTTTGAGAGACGTCAGGAATTTTACTCAAGCATGATGAAAAATGATCAAGCACAAGTGAAGAAATCCATATATAACCAGGAAACTTACTTCTTCAAAGTCAACCATAGTTTATTAATAAGTTAGTCGGCAATGAGACACTTTCAATGCCAATGGAATCCTTCAATGTATCAGGAAAATTATATGAAAACATGAAGTACTGAAAAAGAAATAGAGGAAGATTCATTAAACAATGAAAAACAACCGGAGAAATTACAATGAAAACGAGAGTATAAAGAAAATATTAGCCATTTCTATACATTTGCTGAGTTTTTTGCTGCTTCAACCAAGTTGGTCTTCTTGGTAATGTAGAGGGACATTTAAGGGCACAGTTCTGTGAAAGCTCGCAACAAATCCTCTTTTCAGGATTTAAAATCCATCTCCAAAATTACAGGATCTATTATCTCAATAAAACCGATCATTTTGACCAATACAATTCTTCACATGCTGCAATAACCAGAATCAGCCCACATTTTCACAACGAGAAGAATCGAATGTTTTGTCAGTCAACAGAACAAGTAGCAAATCACCAAAAGTGAAAACATCGCACTTCTATTGCAAAACCAACACTTACGTACTAAGGTGCAAAAAATCCCATTGTACCAAACTACCCTGTATCTTTATGTAAGTTTCGCCTTCTGGAATATACTCGGATAGTGAAAAATCAGATAGTTTCACTATGGTTTGTTCCTGGAATAAGATGTTGTAGGATTGATACTTCTAAAAACAATCGGCCTAGAGAAACCAATATGGAGATGCAAGTGCATTAGCCATCCCATAGCAATCTTTAACCTGTGTGTCAATAGCAAAGGCACAAAATGGGGTTGTCGAGGACCATATATATGATCAGAAGAGTTTCCAATCAACAGATCAAAAACTAGGAGGGGAATTCAGTTTCTAAGCAGCAACCGATCAACTTAAAAAGATCTTGTGCTTCATTTGTGATGCCAATACATGTTGTTAAAGCAATACTCGTATGCATCTAACCTACTAGGACAGTCGCTAAACTCATGACAGAAACTGAATAGTCTCGAGAATACCCTTGTACAGCTCATATGATGCAGCTTTGTTAAACTTTTCCTTGCATCAAAGTTATCTGTTGCCGTCTTGAGCTCTTCCTCAGAGAGAAGCTACGAATCGGATTATATTACCATTACACATGCAACAGCTTTTTAGTAAGTATTGCTATTCACCATCATAGGTGATGTGTTAGGTATCTGTACCTGATGCTTGGATATTCCTGAAGAATCCATGCAATAATTTTACCTTGTTAACTATAAAACATGACGCATATTAAGGAAGAATTGACCATCATGATTCATACCAATAAAAAATTAATTATAATACCTTGAAGCTAGATCAGAACCTTTGAGAGACAGATCATCTACAAATTGGACCTTGAGAGCGCTGCCTCTTCTCCTATGGAAGTCTTCTCTCAAAAATTGTCATACACTAGAAATTCTTATCACTAGGACAAGGAAGTTTCTTTCTTTTTTCTGTTCAACAATTGCTGCAATGAATTCAACCAAAACAAATGATGGCTCAAGGGGGAAGTGGTGGGGAAACATTGGAAAGATGGAAAATTCTCAATATCAGGCGATAAAGTTGACTTTTCAAGGTGGGATGACGACAATTTCCCACCAGAGGTTTGGCGATATTCATTTTCCCACCAAGTTTGAGAAAAAAATTTCCCACCATCGTTAAGATCCGGGTGAGGTCAGGTAACTGACATGATATAGTTACTGTAAAGACAAAAAACCTTTATTATTTGAGCTGCATTTCTTCCGATCTTTAACATCCCTGCTCGCGGTGGAGAGGAGCTGGCAGTGTTGTGGTCTAGTGCAAGTTAGGCTGGTACAATGAGCTGGCGGGGTTGTTTTGCGACTTAGCCGCGTTGAAGGTGGTTCAGGGTAAACGTGAAGACTTTGGAGTGGGGGCGGTGTTGGTGGCAGGGTTGGAGGTGGATGGTGGTGGTGGGTGGTGGTGGTGGTGGTGGAGTAGGAGGAGGAGGTGGAGTTGGTGGTGGTTTTGGCCACGATAGAGGGCTTGGGCTGAAGGAGATGTGGGCGGTAGTGTGGGTGGTAGTGCTTTGGGGGGCTGGACATTGGGGTGGTTTTGGCGATGGAAAGGGGTGGGGTGGGGGGCGTAGGACATGGGGCGCGATATGTTAATAATATGACTTTTAATAAAATAATAATAATAATAATAATTAACTATATCATTTTGTCCTTCTACCATTAAAAAGTTGATAGACAGACCTTAACTGTGTGGGTGGATAATTGTTTTTCTTAAACTTAGTGGGTGCAAAAATGGGCAAACGCCAAAAACCTGGGTGGGACATGGTCGTTATCCCTTTCAAGGTCAACAAATTAAAAAAAAAAAAACCATAAAGTAGACCAAAATTATTAAGTTCAAATTAAAACGCTCCATAGAGAACCACACTAATATAATTGATGCACAAAATTAGTAAATAATCTTTTAGTCGGATGTTTAAACAATCATAAAGTTGACATCCAACTTAGTCAATGAGTAAACTACGTACATGATCTTGTTTTCTCTAAGTGTAAGACATTAAATGGTTTATACGAACACCCAAGTAAGAGACCCTTAATTAAACTTGGACTGTGATTCGTTGCCTTTGTCATAACAACAGACATCCATTCTTCAGGTGTCGATGCTGAACTTTCCCTTCCAGATTCAAGTCGGCACATTTCGACAGAACGTCCTGCAAATGATCCACAAAAAACCAGTTCAGCAATACAAAACCAGTGCAGAAAACTCAAGCAGAAACAGGCTAACAGGACAAGAATGTGCGAAATTGAAGCAGCTCTTAAGTCCAAGTTGGTTCGTTATCAATCGATGCCAAAGCATCCATTCGGAGGGCTTTAATTGGCAGGTCATGCAACCAGTCGTCACAAAACAAAAGGCTATATCTTTATCATTTAGAACACAAAAAAAAGGATCCAGGAACTCAATTTATTGCATTGCTCAAACAAGGTAACAGGATCCAATTATTATGGTTTAATTTTCACCGGATTGTTCCTTGGATTTTGGTTGATAACAATACATTACCATTAGACAGACATTATTCCATTGAAAAGTTGCAGTGATAAAGTAACTCTTTGGGATAAACTATTAAAACCTGAAACTCAGTCGCAAAGCCACTTTTTTCAGCTTGCTTCTTTTCAGCCAATTTGAGACCAGGTTCTGTCAGCAATCTGTATTTGACAACCTACACAAAAGAATCAGGATAAAGGAGCTGCATCTTCCATAATAACTCATAACTTCAGAGATGATAACTTTCCATTTTATGCTTCCTGCTTCAAAGAGTTATTATCTAATGCAAACATGACTAAATCACATAAATAACTTTTTAATGGATTCTTGGAGAGCGTGTATGAAACTATAACGATGGACTACTACCAATAACTTTTCAAAATGAAAAAGAATGAGCTCAAAACAGCAAGCTCAGAATTGCAGTTTGGTGAAGCTTGACCATTCGCCATATTTTTTTCCACACCAGATCTTCGCGTGGTAATCAGGAAGTGGGCTCACATATTTTTATACTGAAGCTCTACACCAACTACTTTACTTCATGGATCACAATATGCATATCTGAAACAGCCAATGAAAATGTTTGTTTATAAGGTTATAAGGTCTCTGAAGAAGAACTATACCTGTAGCAACGTAACTCCAGTGTCAGGATACAGGTACTGACTAGCTCTTTTTTCTTCCTGATTCAAGCACCATAAGGCCTAGGAAAACAAAAGAACAGATAGGTGATCTATCGTGTATGACATTTCAAATAGAAATCAGTCAAGTATGTAAAAAGTATGAAATACCTTTTGCATATAGTCAGCATTGAATCAGACAAAAGCCACTCTGAATTAATTGAGGTAGTATGAAGAGCTTTCATAAAGCATGACATGCTCGAAATTGCATAATATTTTATTTCTCCACAATTATCAATTTCTGAAAAGATAAAGATGACATTCTTCAGCAGGTCCTGATCAATCTGCAATCCTTCGCGTTCCTGCTTGATCTGCATGCCAATTTGAAGTAAACTCACCCCATCGAGAAGGAAACACAAATATACAGAATAAATAGAGCATATCAACTAACCAATGATAATGCAGCAGCCCGGAGTTCACAATAGAAATTTTTGAAAACCTGTAATGTAGTATAGAATGTTAATTCTTCCCGAACTTTCAAATATTAAAATAATATAATTAATAATAATAAAAGAATTAGAATCACACATGTATACAACTTACCAATTCGTGAAAGACTTTAACAGAGAGTTTATCAAGGTTTGGAAGTTCTTTCTTTTGAGGGATAAAGTAGCGGTCAAGGTATTCAAAAAATCGGCATAGCACCTTGCCATCGCCTTGTAATTTGACCAAATTGGCACAAGTTCCCTCAACAAATTTACATCAGTTTTGCTATTAGCGATGGCAACACCTGAGAGCAAAAGAGGAAAAGACACATCGGTGTCACCCTGTCTGCTAAATCTGTGAAAACGTTTCAAAAAGAATGTATAATCCACCATCAAAACAAATGACATAACAATCTATGAATTAGCACCAGAGAAAGAGTCAATTATATACCTTGATCTTTTTAATAACACAATAAATTTACCATACCATACAAAAAAGAAGAAATACAACATATAGTAATGCACTGGGGCTCACCATATTGATGCTCTCTTCCAGGCAGATCTTATATCGCTCATAAATCCGCACTGTCTTTTCATCAGAACCACGGGAAGTACACATGAAATACACAACATCTAACAAGTTGTAAAGGACAACATATTATGCGTTCAATTTATGAAACAAGCCAAATGTAAGATGCAACACTACTCAAAAGCATAAAAATCCTCAAAGTCTTAATGCAATACGACCCTTTCGACTATCACAAAAGATACTCATAGAATCTCTGGTATTCTTCTCCGGTGAACTTCATTCGTACCCTTCCATTATCTTCTGGGCCTTCACAATGGCCTCTCCACCACATCATTCCATCCTCCAGTGATATAAACTTCAACATCAGAGTCTCCCTTCCTCAACACAACTTCCCACAAGTATCTATCAAGAGCAATTAGTGTCAATCATAGTCAACACACATTGCAACTAGGCATTTAAACAAAAACTCATAATCACACTTTAAAACTTGAAATTCCCTCAAAATGGCCCCTAATAACACCAGTATTAACCAAAAGGAAGATACTTTTCAAATTGTTTGAAGAACAACTACAAATCTACAACAATTCTACTCAGAAAAAACACCAAACCGACAAAGAAAAAAATGTTCTGATCAAAAGATTCAAACTTTCATACAATTATGGCAACAGAACCACACTAAAACTGCTAATGACAAAAAAAACACAAAGTTATTGCATCAATGGAGACTCACACAATTCATGAAACAAAGAAATTCGGAAAAAAAAAAAAAAAAAAAAGAATCCAGAAAATTACCTGAGAATTTGTTGGTGCTTAGGTTCTTGAGAGATGCTGATAAGTATGATGGCTGCGAGAGGACACAAGTTTAAAGTGAACAGGAAAGATAGTTTTGTTGGTTGTCCAATGAACAAAACTGTGGGACCATACTAAACAATAGTTTCAATTCAGTGTAAGGTTACAGGTGTGGACCCCCAAATGGGAAGTCTTGAATGAGTCAGAGGGGCGGGACCTACTCTTACTAATTGTGGCCTAGTGTGGGGCCTTTCCAGTTTCACTTTAGTTGATTTTTTTTGGACAGCAAGCTATTTTAGGAGATTCTATTTAGATTTTTGCAAACTGTGTCTGACTCTGTCTAGAGTCACTTTCGATCTTGAAGAATCTTTGGGGTAAAAAGTAATTGTAATAAATTCGCATTTAAGTTCGGCAGCATAAAGTGAAGTAATTATCGTTCTGCTCCCTGTTTTTTTTAACTTAAAATCAATGGAATCCTGAAATTTTTCATAACTTTCTTGGATGCTGCTTCTTGTTGCTTATGACGATACAAAGACAGATGAATTCATGAGGCCAAATAATGATAATGGGTTTTGGTAGTGTCAAGTAGAGATATTTCCTTTCTTTCTTTAAGGTTTGAAATACTTTGTCCCAATATTATGGTATATAAAAGATGCAAAAAATTTATCGTCATGAAAATAGGATATGACAATCCGCTAGACCTACACACATGAAAGGACAAGCGTGAAGCTTCTGGAAAACACTAGTATGGTATTTGCCATAGACACTCCGACACTCAAATCAGCAAGACTGAAAGAGATTATTTGATAAGAATTAAGGAGATGAAGAATTACCAGGAATCTTGTCGGAAGCTAGGACTTTGGCGGAGGTGTCGGGTTCTTGAGAGCAAGAACTTTAGGAGCAAATAAATGGTTTTCAGTAGTATATATTGACTATGAGAGATTGCATGCATAATGAGAGAGCAAGTCTCTATTTTTATAGTGAACCCAAGGGATTGGAATCCTAGTAGGACATTGAGTCCTCTTTTTTAGGAGATAATTCAAATATGATTTCTTGACCTTATCAGATTAAGTTTAATAGTTTAAGTAAAATTTGGAATCTTAGTAGGACAGTAAGTCCTATTTTGGGAGATAATCCCTATCATGAAAGAGATATAATTTTTTGACTTTATCAGATTAAGTTTAATAATTTAAGTAAGATTTGAAATCTTAGTAGAAGAGGAAATAGAATGAGATTCTGATTTCCTATTTATGGATTGTTGTAGGCTCATGGGCTGAAACCCAGTTTAACTTAACTTATAAGATAGCCCAACTCGTAGAGTGAGTAGTTCATAAGTTGATTTTAAGTATAGGCTCAATCGGGATTGGGTTGAGACCTTGGGCCGTGACATGTTTATTTTGTTATTGGGCCTCGTCAAGCCCAAAACGATTTTTAACCCTAACAATATTATGGTATATAAACACTTTAGTCCTATTAGATGATTGATATTAGTGTTGTTGGCTTGGTGTTTTTTTTTTTTTTTTTTTTTTAATAATCGGGGTGTTCGATCCAATTTGCATGCACCTCAACTAATATCTGAAATCCATTGAATATGCTATAAACCCAATGTTCAAGGATAAGCCACAAATATAATAAGTGACCCCAAGGTGGTTCGAACCCAGAAAGTAAATGAAAGGAGCAAACCTTCTTAACTGTTAAACCAATATTTTGAGGTTAAAAAGAATTGTTGGCTCGTTTTCTTAACATTGTAAGGGTAAATTTGACATATAGATAGGATGTACACTTTAGAAGCCCCTTATAATGTTAAGAAAACTAACATCAGTCATGTGATAAGCATAAAGTATTTGTATCCACTAGAAGCGAGGTAAAAGTGTAACAAACCCTAAATCTCAAGGATGAAATGGTAAGTTTCCAGTGTAAAATGAGGTAAATATCATTTAGCTCCTAGTAATTTGAGATAAGAAAATGGAGTCCAATCAACAATGAAAAAGTGTTGAGAACTTTCTCGGATGCTTCCTGTTGTTTGTTGATTATGACAACATAAGAACAAACGAATCCGGATCTACTCCAATGCCAAAGCTCATACACTTTCTGTTGGATCTCCTCCAATCCCAAATCTCATATTTCTGGTATTGAATATTATAAAGGGCTAATGAAATTGAAAAAATAAACCCAAATTTCCATAAATTCAAAATCCCAAAGATCCCATTAACACCAAAATAGTATTAGTTTATCAAATTAACTATGGAATTATATATCAAAGACATAAATTCAACAAAAGATAGAGAAGAAAAAGATGGATTCTTTGAGAAGAAAGGAAGAAATGTGATGTTTCCACAACAAATGGAAAAAAATCTCTCCATAAATTCAGACTTCTTCCTCTTGAATCGAACTATATATGATCTTCATTCTTCAAGGCTCAATTGGTCAATTGCGGGGAACATTTTCTGCATGCAAAAACAATCACAAAATTTTGACTGAATTTATTTTCTTGTAATATTCTCTAGCAGAAAAACTTGGTCTAGTTTTCATAAAAATGTGCTCTCTCTCTCTCTCTCTCTCTCTCTCACGCAGACACATACACGCATATATATGTACATGATTTTTCAAATACAAATCTGAATTACATATATATGTACACGCATATATATGTACATGATTTTTCAAATAAAATCAGATGAAACCATAGCTTGTATCTGCAAAAAGTAGAGACAGAAGCAAAAAGAAAAATGATGAAACCAGTTTTGAATAATTAAAAAAAAAAAAAAAAAAAACCACAACAGAGAAAGTATATATATGCTGCCGCTTTTAAGAATGGGTAATTGCCCTTCTCCGACTCTTAACTACCCATCCTGAGAATGGACAGTTAATGCAATCCACTTATTGAGCAGGATTCCATGGTCGGTCTGACCCTTGGATACCGATATATATATATACCTTGAGTAATTTTCTTCCCGTAGGATTATCTTCTTCTGAGTAAAGAGCTTTTACTTTTTCTTCCTCCTGTTTAAAACAAAGATCAGCCTAACATTATAAATACATTAAATGAACAAGCGTTTGTGAATGAAATATTAGAACTCTCGATCTTATTGCTAGGGTTTGAATTGATCTAAAGCTCGTGATATATTATTGAACGAGTACTATAATAACAGTTTCTTCGAGAATGTATAGGGAGTTAAGAAATTAAAGAAGATCGTACCTTTTGAATGTAATCGATAAACAAATCCGGTTGAGAGCGATACTCCAAAGACAGTTGATGGTAACACTTGCCGGTTTCTTCAAGCATCATCTGCTCAAATTTTGAATAGTAGTTGACTGAACATTTATCCAACCTCATTTCTGCTAGGAATTCCAGGAATTTTTTGTTCAAGTCGTGATCAATCTCCTTCCTTTCTCGTTCTTCATCAATCTGTAAGCTCAAATCCGCAAATACTTATTATTGACGTTAGATAATATCAAATATCAGCTAACCCTAGCTATATTAATGCATACATATGTCACTTACCAAATCATGTAATGATTTCTGCAGACTTGAATGGTCCTTGACGATGACCTAGAATAAGAACGTTCAAGTAAGATATCAAGTCTCTGATCAATCAAGTTTCATAAAGGAAACTCAACAAATAAAGATGATCGAAATTTACTTGAAAATAAATGTAATCAATCAGGTTTGAACATATAATATGTAAGGAGTTCTTGCAACGGAAAACATCAAGATGAATAATGTATGAATGTAAATCACAAAACACAAAACACGAAAGAGACACGAACACGAATAAAATAGAGATTGATTATAATAATGTGGACAATAATGCCTAACCTAATACTCTAAATATAGTATCTAATTAATAGGGTGGAAACAATCTCAGTTTTTACATCAATCCACTGAATACTCGATTAGTAGAGCAAAAACAACTCAAGTTTC